TTTTTTTTTTTTGCTTTTCTTTTTTGTTGTCCTGGTACTGTAGGACAGGATGGCTTCGGTTGAAAAGGAGACACTGTCCCAAGATGAACTCCGGAAAAGGCTCTATCAGACTTTTAAGAACCGAGGTGTACTGGACACGCTTAAGGTGTGCATTATTTTCAGCAGGTGCTGCCTATATGATTCGCTATACTACTTAACATTGAAAGCAGTGACAGTCATGCTGAATAAATGTGTTTCAGCTTTTTTTTTTTTATTATTTTGCTAGAAGCAGGGTTCTTCCTCAACAGAAGCGCTTTTTGTTGTGGATTAGTGTCAGGGTCTTTTTCGGGAAGGATAAAGGCCTTTATTGAAAATTTCCATGCTTGAGGGAAAAAAAAGTCAAACAGGGAAGAGAGGAATAAATGAGAATACAGGATTGGAAATGGCCTCTTAGGTTGCAGAGTCTGTTTGTTACCTACTATAAGTAAATATGATGTTGAATTATCCTCCTGAAATATTCCAGTTCTGTTTTAAAACAGCTGTTTTCTCCTTGTCTGCTCCTTGAGGAGAATGTCTTAGAATATGGTTGTGTTCAAGAGAGAAACTTTGTTCTGATTTGTAGCCTGGGTTTATTTATGTTTGCTCTGGCCTTTTTTCTTGTGCTGAAAGTATCTTTCTTGTGCTGAAAGTAGCTCTTGCTGCTCTTCATGAATTTATGGGCAGCAGTCATAACTTTTCTTCAGTCTTCTGTTCTACAATGCTAAGCAAGTCAAGGTGCAGTAGTCTCATTGCTGGTTATCCCAGTAGTTCTCTGCATCACTCTGAAGTCTTTCCTCCTTTTTTTAAAGGAAGTAGATCATGATTGTTGTAAGCTTTCCAGACAAAGTTTAGAATGGTATTAATTCTTCCCTATTTTTGTGGGAAAGACTGTGGAAGGCTGCATATCTCTCTTTTTGAGGCATGTTACATTTGTAGTGCTAGTTGTTACTTGATTGACACAACCACATCTTGCTTTTTTCCAAACCCTAAATCCCTTGTGTTATAGCCAGAAATCTGCATCAGGCCTTAAATGCTGAAATGTTGTATTTCATGCAGTTTCAGTTTTGCTAGTCTTTAAACATAATCTGATTGAGTTTTTTATGATGGTTTGATCTTTCTGTACTTCTATACACATCTTAATGTCACCAGCAAATTTTTTAGTTCCTGCTTTTTATGTCAAATTCATTAAAGTTAAAAAAAAAAAAAAGGAGATCTGTATTTTAAGAACACCACTGATAAGCATATCGCCAAGAATTCCCTGTTCAGGACACCTTGTCTATCCCTTAGTGATTTCCATGCTAAGCTTGCAGTGCTTGAACCATTTCTTGTTTTGTTTGACCTAACTAATAGTCTGTCGGGTGGCATGCCATTCAAGTCCATTTTCTTGCTTTGTTTTCCTTGTCTAGCAGATTATACATCATATTAAAGATTTTGTAGCTTCTCTGAGCTGAAGAATTAAACAGTTGAGTTTCTTATGGATTCCTGCAAACACATCTTCTAATGAGAATACTCTTCACTTTCTTGTGGTCTTATCTGACTGCCTCTGCTGGTAATATGCAGGGCAGATCTGGAGCTACAGGTATACTGAATGGCCAACATAAAACAACCAATTTCTGCCTTCCTTTCCCCATAGTAGGGGCAGGAATTTAGTCCTGTGTTTTCCACCTGCACTTTGTCACAAGACATGTAAGAGGTTGCTGGTCTTGGTTGTTTTTGTGACTACGTCATCTCTGTCAAAGTTGGTTGAAAATGGGCAAGTTCAGAAATTAATAAGGAAAACAATTTTTTCATTGTCGTCTTTTCTCTCTATTGTCAGCCTAATTGCTGTAGAAAGCCATGCTAAAATATCAGGCTAGTCTGATGATTAGCTTTGTTACGTTTTGGTAGGCATTTAGTATTTTGTCCCATTTTTTGTAACACGCCACTTTGTTAATCAACTTTGTCACTGTTGCATACCTGCTGTTGAAAGCTTAAAACATTTTTTTCTCCCTTTTACAGGAGGAGACTTTCTGATTTTACGTTACTTTTTTCTTTATTGTAGCTTACAGAATGCAAATAAATAATAAAAATGCAGTGTAATTATTATTAGTGCCTGCAGGCTTTTTTGATTGATACCTTTTTGTTTCCCTA